AAATTTACATAATGCATACCGACTATATATTGGATACGGACCTGTAGGCAGAGAATCACAAGCTAATCTATATGGCAACTGCATATATAGAACAGTGAGATCCATGCATGCTCTATATTATTCTCTTTCGTTTAACGCTCAATCTGAATGGTAACATGACTGATATTATACTCCCTTCTGATGTATTCAATTACGTTGTCTAAGACCCTGTCTGCATCAGCTTCTGGTGTGATTTTAACATGGCAAGCCAACAGGACCTTCCCCACAGTAATGGCCCATATATGCAGCTCGTGAACAGCCACCACATCCCCCATTTCCAACAGCCCTGTTTCTAGCTTTGTTGCGTCAATCTCTCGAGGTGTGCTCTCCATCAGCACTTCGAGTATGCTGCGCAACATTCTTATGGTAGTCCCCAAAACAATTACTGAAAATATTAGTGTGCAAATCAGATCAACTATTTTCCATTCAGGCTTATACCATATGATTGCTCCTCCAATCATCACTCCGATACTTTGGACGGAATCCCCCAGTACATGAAGATAAGCTCCCTGGACATTTATATTCATCCTTTTCTTCTTCTTCTTCGGCTTATCAAGCAGAGGTTCTGTCTGTTCTTTGTGAACATGGTGGTGCCCCTCATGTTTAGTGTGCTCTGTCTCTTCATGATGATGGTGGTGCTCAGCCTTGGAGTGCTCCTCAGGATGATGGTGGTGTTCTCCTGTGGAGTGCCCCTCGTGATGATGGTGTGCGGTAATGCTCACTCCATGACTGTGATCACTATGGCCATGGCCATGGCCATGATCATGACCATGACCATGATCATGACCATGACCATGACCATGTCCCAATAATAGAGCCATGATTATATTAACTACTAGTCCGAAAGCAGCAACAACAAACATTAGAAATCCATACACCTCACCTGTGTCATTAATTAGTCTAACAATGGCTTCATAAACTAAAATTCCTGCGAGCAACCATATCATCTGGATTGAGACCAAGGCCCCAAGGATCTCAATCCTAAAAAATCCATACGATTGACGGGGATTGGCTTCCCAGCCGGCTGCCCATAATGAAAACAACGAGATGGCAAAAGCTGCCACATCTGAAAGCAAATGTGCTGCATCAGTTAATATTGCTAGACTATTAGCTTTGATGCCTCCCACTACTTCTACACTCATGAAGATGATGCAAAGCGCCACTGCAATGAAAAGTTTACGCATAGAAGCCGATCTTTCTTCAGCATCTTTAGAGCTAGTACCAGCATCGGAAAGTCTACAAGCTGTTTCCCCACATATCTTACTCCCTCCGATACTCCTTTGGCCTTCAGCAACATCCACATTTATTTCAATATCTTGCCCGTGTTGAGGATTTAGTACTTCCATCTGAAAATTGATGCAACAACAAGGTGGATAAAACAGAATGCCATAACCAAAACACTACCAAGTGAGACATGTAATTATGTACAACAAAACAGAATGCCTAATCCATTTATCTATTTTGTCTATATCTCTCATGACCAACAATAAAGAATCATAAGAGAAAAGCATCTATAAGGCATAGAATTAAAAATATATATAAGCAATAGATGACTTTTGTCATAGGTCCACAGTCCTAAACATCAGCATTGACACTTCAGCCAAGTTCTGACCACTACGTAAGTGTGCTCATATTAAATGCCCATCTGCAGAGCATCATTTAAGCGAATCGGACACTAGTTGTCAGCTAATGACAGGGAAGGATGTATTGATTGCATAAACTTAAATCACACTAGAGGATTTGTAAAATGAACTTATGGTATTATGCTTGTTTCCCAGAATTTGAAGCAACTAATCAAACTAGCAGTGAGCTGTTTGTTTTATTACCATGAACTGCTTCAATTAAGCAACCAAAAAAATCTGACAGAACAGAGCATTTTGACCATGCATCATATGACTCAAAGAGGCTGATAAAAAGGGGGGGGGGAGTTGAAATCATATATATGACAGGCAAAAGATCGACTTTTGGTTGATGAACCGTGTCCTCATATGCAAACAACTTTCTTCTCTACAACAATGAAACCACTGCACCACCTTGCACCATATATATACATTAAAGGATTATCGGAACCTGATGATTCCTATATTCCTTTCAAAAAGATTTAGAAAGAGAATACCGATCCCAGAAATGTTAAAGCTAAAAAAAATTGAAAATGATATTGTTTAAAAGAACATTAAGCAGAACTCAATGATAGAGACATCTGACCAAAGATTAGACAGATTAAAAGTTTGACCATCAAGATACAAGAAATGCCTTCAATTATATTATGCGAAGAATACATATAAACCTGGGAGGTGAGATTGTTACTTCACAAGGAGCTGATACATGTAAATTAAGGACAAAAGCAAGAATTGTTACCTCGTAACGAGCTTATACATATAAATTAGGGAGCTGTTATATATATATATATATATATATATATATATATATATATATATATATATATATATATATATATATATATATATATATATATATATATATATATATATCTGTGTGTATATAGACTATTAGGGAGATAAGCAAGTCCCTGGCAAGGAACTAAATTTGGCACAGACAATGACAGGCTGAAAAGGGCAAAAACTAACCATACCAAAACCAACACCTTGCCTAATTGCCATTCTCTTCGCCGTCGATCAAATTTATTATTAAAGGAAAAAGCATCACAATCAGAAACATATGGTAATGAAGTATTTGATTGATTAACCCAAAGACACAGAGAACTTGCTTCAAGCAAAAAAAAAACAATCTTGCATCAAGATCTTGAACAGCTCTTTTGTACTTGTGCTCAGGAATTACATCAAACATTGGATACACACTAAAAGCAGACTTAATCAAAATAATCTATTTTGTCTCCAGCATGCAAGGTGCCATGACCAGCTATAATACCCAGAGTAAAATACAACAACCCCAGATTATAAAAGTTATGAATAATATCCAAACATGGCGAAAAGTACAGGTTTTGGCACAAAAAAAGCATAGTATATACAATAAAAAAAACGACCTTTGAAGTTGAGTCGATATAGCCTATAGGGATGTACCTCAGTTAGAACATGAAGCTCCCTATCCTGGGTTTGAGAGTAGGATGATTCGCAGGATTGGAAGTTAAATTAAGGTGAATTTAGGGTAAAGATATAGCAGCCCGTGGATAAGAGGAGGAGGGCGTGGAACAAATCTTCACCGTTTAAATTGTTAAAATAAGATTTAAGGTCACCTTCACCTACTTAATTTATTATTTTCACATTAATATAATTCTCGAAATTACTCAATTACATCATTCTATATTTTATACCTAACTTAAAATCTTAAATTATAAATCATAAATTGAATTTGAAGTTTAAGGTTTATGATTTAGAAGTTATAGGGTTATATCTTAAGATTTATGATTTATGATTTTACGTTAAGAGTAAGACATAAAATGATATAATCGAGTATTTTCAAAAAATAAAATAATACAAAATATAATAAAAACAAAAGTAATAAATTAAATCTACTGCATGAACAAAAGTTATATTTTTACCTTAAAATAATTGGGAAAAGGGAAAATAAGGCAAGTTACCTAACGAGAAAAACAAAGATACACGCATTTAATGCATTGTCTTATTCGTGTTTAATATGTTTTGTTATGTATATGTTTTTTTAGAAAAATAATTAGAATAAATTATATTTTTAGTATCTAAATTATTAGTTTTAGTATTTAAATTTTAATTTTTTTTAAAATCATACATAAAATTTATTTTTTGTTTCATTTTAGCATCCTTCTTCAAAATTTAACGTTAAATTTTGAAAAAAAATTAAAATTTAGTAACTAAAATGAATCAAAACTGATAGTTTATGTACTAAACTTGACTTTTAAACTCTAAAACTTAAAATCTGAATAGTGTACATAAAATCTGAATTTTAAGTTCAAAACTTTATAACGTAAAATCTTAAACTTTAAAGCATAAATAGAAAATAAAAAGTAACAAGTACATTTGATCGATTGGTTAAATTAATCATATTTATTCTTTCATATCCCTTTAGATTATCAGTTCTAGATCCATTAAGAGTACTCACTTTCTTTCCCGAGAGTTCCTCATTCCCCTTCACTAGAGGTACAATTAAGATTAAGTTTAAAATTTACCAAGAAAAATGAAAACTGGAAATTACTATCCAACCGAGGTCGTATGCAATATTACGATATTGCCCTTAGAAGCCCATCATACAATTCCAAGTTACAAGGAGGAAAGAGACATGGAAATTACAATTTGTTATTATTTTCTCTTCGTCTAATCATTTGTCTATTTTGTTCACATGGAGATGAGTCATACTTGATAGAGGCCCGACAAAAGCGGACAAGCAATGCACACATAAAGACGGCAACTTCTACAGAAAAAGCTTGGGCGTATAATTGTCGAGGCGTTTGTCTTTTTGTTGTACCATAACGCGAAGTCGTTGTCGGAAGTAAATTGTAAGCATTATTGTCAATAAATTGACTTGATCGTTCAATCACGTGCAAGTCTTCGTTATGTGTAATATCTCTCATCTTGTGTATTCACAAGTCAACCAATTAAAGTAAGAGTGTTCGTCAAATTATAGATGATCAAGGGTTTATTAAAGTTGAACCCGGCCACCACTTGATTTGCACATCTCCACAGTCCACTCGGATTTTTTTTTTAAAGTTCGGAGAAAGGATGGTCACAAGGCCTAAATCCTCCCAACAATTTTGTAAATCTTCCATGTCAGAACTATTATCGGGCCCCACCTTATCGAAATCAAAACTTTCCTCTCCATGAGCAGCAAAGTTGGAGTCCCCTTCGATCACCCAAGCTTCATCACTGACAACCATTTTCAACGACCATGTCAGAAGGGTGTGGCAGATTAGCACCAAACCTTATTTCGGTTGGTGTGTAAGATAGATACTCAAGGCTAGGGGAGGCTTTCCCGTTGCTTGGGGTGCGACTATCTGGAGTTTGATTACTATTACTTGGCTCTGATCAGAGGTCAGGGTTAGGAATGTTGTTGTTCATTGGCACAGATTGGTGTGGTTTCCTCTTCTTGTTCCCAAGCATGCTGTCATTGCTCGGCTCGCCATCTTGGGAAGGTTTTCCATGAAGCATGTTCATTTTTTCATCACTTTGACTTGCTTTAGGGGTTATTGAACCCCCTAACATTCCAAAACAAATTATCATCAATGAGAAGAAATAGTACTCCCCACTGCCTCAGCAGTAACCTCGTTAGCCGTCTTGACCTTATCTATATGCTCTTTCTTCTTGGCCTTTAACTCATTCAGCAGGACAACAACCCCACTGAAACTGCATGAGCCTTCTTAGAGCCATCCACTGTTGCAACACCCCATAAAACCTCAAATTTATTAGATAAACCCCCAGTGGTCTTCTTTTCCTTAGTTTTACTCTTAACCTTCTTTTTGTTTGCATCATAGAAGCTTGCAGAGTAGAAAAATTCTTTTTTGTTCGATTATTATTATTATTATTAATTTTATTTTAAATTATTATTACAATAATAATTATGTTTATATAAACAAATTATTTTACGATTATGCATTATATTGTTTACGATTAAACTCTTATAACTTTTAGAATAATTTGCAACGTTTGTATGCATGTCTTCTAGTTGGAAATACATAATTCTTTGATATTATATAATATCAACAAGGCACCGAATTTGATGTTGATTGTTGTATGTCGATCTTTTTTCTCTTTGTTTTTTTTTTTTAGATTTTTAATGAGAATAGTTTTATTTTTGCAGTATGTTTTTCTTTACCTTTAGGGTGCGTTTGGTTCACGAAATGTAAGATTACCAGTGAGAATAAAATATTACCAGGGAATAGGATTACTGGGAATGTTGTATTTTGTGTTTGGTTGGTTTAGCAGGAATGTAAGATTACCGTGTTTGGTTAAAGGAATAAAAGATTATTAGAATGTATATTTGACCAAATTGTCCTTATTATATATTTGTATAATATTACAAATTGTAAAATATTTATATATTTTCTTTAAAAATTAAATTCATAATATTTATATAATTTTTTTTACAAAATTAAAAATATAAAAAAGGTTTAATGAAAGGGTAAATTTTTTTTAACCCTTGAACTTTATATAAAAATTTAATTATATATTTTTTTTGTAAATCTAAAATAATTTAAGGATAAATTTTTAATTTAACCTTCGTAGAATTTTTATTATTCAATGACTGAAGAAGAATATTTTTGAAAAAAATAAAAATTTAAGGGCATTTTAGTCCAAAACACCGGTAATGTTACAATACCTAAGGGAAGGGAGGTAATGACATTCCCGGTAATATATCCCAAAAAATCTACTATTGGTAATAAAACATTACCGGGAATGAGATTCCCGACCAACCAAACATGGGAATGTGGGATTCCATCCCATGGGAATCCCACAATCCTTGAACCAAACACCCCCTTATGGTATGTTTTTTGTTTTCTTTCTCAGACATTTGATTGGTCTTTTATTTATGTTTTCTCATGGTGGGATTTGACGACGCCACGACTGATCAAGATGACGTATATTTATAATCATGTTGATCTTCCTTGCTATGGACTCTTGGATTGAATTTGGATACGCTATTTTACGTTCGTTGATAATTTCTCATGACGTTCGACTTTGATTTGTGGCCTTTCAATAGATTAATTGCCTTTTACGGTTTGTTTATCGATTATTCAAATTTGTTAGTATCTATTTTTTGTCCGAGTTTTTAATATTTTCATTGTATGGTTCTTATATGGTCTAAATTGACTAATTTAAATGGTATAGGAAAATAAATGTTATAGGAAAATGTCCAAACTATATATTTATTTTACGATGATAATTATAAATTTTATTGTAATTTTAAATATTTTTAAAAAAATTTAATAATATTAAAAGCTTCTATTAAGAAAAAAAAACTTGTACATTATGTATATGTTTAATGCACATGTAAAAAAAGTTGTTGGATATAAAAATTGCTGACAAATAAAAATATCTCAAAAGGTTTGCACTGAATATATATATATATATATATATATATTAAGTAACAACGAGGAGTGAAAGACTATATCTTTGACTAGCCTTTTCAATAATAAGTGTAAACTATGCAAATAGTCTCTTATGTTTAGTGTCTAACTAACTTTGGACACCAATTTAAAAATTAAGGAGAAATGATCATTAACGTTATAAATATGTTTGATTTTAATCCTTCGGGATTTAGATTTGTTAAATCCCCTTTTGTTTAAGTCTCTTTTGTTTAAGTCCCTAACATGGCTGAGGGACTAAAATTAAACGGGAGTTAATGATTAAGGGAATAAAATTGAACGAATCAATAGTGTTAAGAACTAAAATCGAACATATAGATAACGTTAGAGATCATTCCCCTTCTGGTGACCAAAGTCGCACATACTAAAAACATAATGGATTATCCGTATAGTTTACCCTAATAATAATAATAATAATAAAACATCACAAATTTCCAAGTTCATGGAGTTAAACTATTATTCGACAAATAAAAAAAGTAAAATTTAACCTACAAAATATAAAAAAGTAAAATATATATATTGTGTGGACCATCTTTAAGGTTTCAAGTACATTGAAGCATGGTTCAACCTTTGGATTCCGTTGATTTCTCACTATTTCTGATGATAACACTTGTCGGTCTTCTCTTAACGTCCGACCTTGGTTTAATCTCGACGGCGAAAGACTTCTGTCGGAACCGAGTAGAGAAACTCTTCGAACGCAACCAAGACTATGATGAAGTTGATATCGATGACGACTACGACGAACGGCCTTTACCGTCTCGGGTGCCGCTGCCGTTCATGGCTCATGTCGTCTTGACTTCGATAAAGACCGAGCTGCCAGTAGTTGAATTCGGAAGATCGAAACTTGGAGCCAATATCGGGGATGGATCATCTTCAGCTGAGTGTGCGATATGTTTGGAGTGCATCATGGGAAGCGAAGGAATCAGAGAGCTCGGGAATTACAGTCACCTCTATCATAGAGATTGCATTGATGGGTGGGTGGACGAGGGTCATGGGACGTTTCCTTTGTGCGGGCGTAAGCTACTTCCATGTAAAGCTGCTGGTGGTGATGACGATGATTATGATCCATGGAGTTTGGAGAGAATGACCTATTTGTTGGGTTATTAATTTTTTTACTTTTAATCTCAACCTTTCATTTATCTCATTCGATAAAATAATGTAAATATAAAAAAATTATATACAGTATAATTGGATATGCCGGATCAAGATCATATATATATATATATATATATATATATTATCCGACAACTTATATATGCTGTTAAGCCCTTTTCGTAAGGATGATGAATCTGATACCTATTGAGATCACTTCCACTTCAATATATAAATATATATATATAGAAGAATCCGTAAACAGTTGAAGCATTTTGATATTCATAGATGCTATGCCCACCATTCGCGTTCCTCATCAAACAATTTTTTTTTATTAATCTAGAATGAATATAAAGTATATATGTTCAAAGATAATCCTCGACATTTGAAATTGAACACTCTCATAATTCTTTAACATCTTTAAAAATAACAATATTCCACCATTCTCCTCGTCTTATTTCTTAAAATGAGTATAAAGTAGAAAAATAATAAAATAATTATTTTATAATAATTAAAAATAAGTGTAAATTATGCATTTAGTACTTAAACTATTATTTTTTATTCGTTTTAGTATTTAAACTTTTAATTTTTTAAAATCATACCTAAAATTTAGTTTTTATTTCATTTTAGTACCAGCCATTAAAAAAATTAATTTTTGTTTCATTTTAGTATCTGTTCAAAATTTAATATTAAGTTTTGAGAAAATTGAAAGTTTAAGTATCAAAACGGACCAAAACTTATAGTTTATGTAATGAACACGTTAAGTTTTTAACGGTAATATACTAAAATAAAATGAAAACTAAAGGTTAGATATGGTTTTGAAAAAAATGAAAATTTAAATACTAAAATGGATCAAATTGATAGTTTATGTACTAAATGCGTAATTTACCCTAAAAATAATATGATGCTCCTTTAAAATATGACATATCATATCTATCCGACTATAAATTTCACAGTTTTATAGTAATATTTTTATATTAACAACATCGTTAACAATGGATGGAGCTGAACATAGTAAGATGATAAAGAAAGGAAAATGGAAGAAGAATCGAAGAAAACCTAATTTGCATTATTATTGCATGTCGGCAGATATATAGTTTATTCAGTTAAGTACCAAAGCTACTTACGGAGTTTCATATATCGACTTTACACGGAGGAGCTCCGAGCAAAGATACGGGTCCGGCGACACCCTTTTTCAAACCAACCCAAACATCACATCTCACGTAAAATCCATACTTCTGTGTCCTGATAGCACCGGCTTTCCATCTTAATTTCCCAACAGCACCACCTTCAACGCCACCACACCGTAAGTCTCGTCTATCATCAGTCCATTCACCACCTCCCCGAACGCCGGGACCATCCGCTGCCGAGTACAGGCGACAGAGACACCGTGCTCTTCGTCTTGTGGTGCAGAGGCGGTAAGTCTATTGTGGGAGTGATCTGTTGGTTTCTATACGAGACGTAAGCTTGCAACTTGTTGTAAGAGATGGAGACTCTCTTGTTGGGGTTTCTCGTGACGATAGTGAACTGCATGGAAGTGGAGATGTAGGGTTGTAATGTGGCGTTGAGTTCGTAGACGGCGGCACCGACGACGACGAAACGAGGCTTGCGGGGATGGTAGACGAGCCACACGGTGAGTACCGCGGCACCTGCTAAGAGGAGGAAGATAAAACGCACAAGCAAAAGGACCGATGGGCTGCGCCTCCTTGCACGGGGGTTGGAAGGTTGGGTTTAGGAGTCTTTCCTTCGCCCATGTTAGGTGGTGGTTGCTGAGGCGGAGGATCCTGCGGTGGTTGGTTTTGGTCTGTCATTGTAAAGTGAATACAAACGTGAGGCTATATGTAGTGTAAAAGTGGATAGAAAGTGAAAGAGGGAGGATGGTTCGTGGGTGGTGACGGTGGTGGGCGGAGTGACAGTGTTGAAAGTGTGTAAAAAATAGAGGACAAGAAGAATATGGTGAGAAATATAACAATAAAGTAAGTGAAAAAAGAGAGAATAAATGGTTCGATGGGGCTACTAGGGTAGGTGATTATATTTTTTAATTGAAAATTTATATTAATCAATATATTTTGATAACATTCAAGGAAGTATTTTTTTTAAAAAAGGAAAATATTAGAAGAACAATTAAGAATATAGAAGTGAACACCACCGCCTACGGCCAACCACCAACCGCGAGAGGTCCACCGCTCCGAGCCAGGTCACCATTCATATGCAAATTTAAATGATGAGACCACTTGGACAATCGGAGGCATCAAGCCATAGATATCTTGACCGGATACTTATCAATTTCAGTCTTCCACGGGTTACCTCTTGACTCGTTCATGGAGTCGGCCTGAGTGCTTTCCAAACAACATTGTTAGACTTAAAACCCGACCCGAATGCAATCTGCCACACCCGGTCGCCGCCCGACACCCGACCCTTGGCCTCCGTGTAAGCCAACTCATACAATAATGAGCTGCTCGAAGTGTTACCAAATCTGTGCAGTGTCATCCTCGATGGCTCCATGTGCCACTCCGTTAGCTGCAAGTTCTTCTGTAATTCATCCAGCACCGCCCTTCCACCGGCGTGGATGCAAAAATGCTCGAAGGCGAGCTTGAAATCGGATATATAAGGACTCACTTTGGCTTTCAATAGCTTCCTTCGAACAAGGGACACGAAAAACATGAACTGCTCCGTGAAGGGTAAAACGAGGAGACCCAAGGTGGTGATATCGGTTTTCAGAGCGTCACCGGCCACGGCCATTAGCTCACGGGCCAATGAAACCCCGATGGTTCCTTTGTCATCCTCTCTTTGGTAAACGCAGTTGTAGTGTCTGTCGTCGGCTCCTTTGTGGGTTCGAACCACGTGAACGAGCCTTGTCTCGTGGCTTGTTCGACAACAACACCGCGGCTCCGCCCATACGGAATATGCAATTGCATAGCAACATGGATCTGTCGTTCCCGAAATACCAGTTGAGAGTGATGTTTTCGGTGCTCACCACCAAGGCATACGTGTTGGGATTCGATTGGAGGAGGCTTTTAGCGAGATCGATCGATATTAGCCCCGCACTGCAACCCATTCCCCCGAGATTATAGCTGTTGATATCTGTGCGTAGCTTGTAATGGTTTAGCTGTTGATATCTGTACGTAGCTTGTAATGGTTTACGATCATGGCTGACAGCGAGGGCGTTGGATTAAACAAGCTACAGTTCACCATAAGGATACCGATATCCCTCGGGTTAACTCCGGTTTTCGCGAATAGTTCGTCTACCGCTCCGAACATGACAGCTTCAGCTTCAGCTCGAGCCTCTTCCATGCACAGATTTGGCGGCGAAGATGTTATCCCTCTCGGGAAATACGTCTCGTCGCCTAGACCTGACCGGGTCGATATCCTTCTCTGAAACTGAAGCGTATCCTCCGTGAAAGCGCCGCTCTCTTCAGTCATCTTCAAGAACGAGTCCACCGACATTTTACGATCATCTTCAGGCTTGTAGCAAGCGAAGTCGACGAGATAAACCGGCCTAGACCGCTTCGCGTAGTAGAGACCGAAGAGGATGAACAGGAATAACGAACCGCATAGTCTCGTAGCAGCATCAATGCTCTCGAGTCGAAGGGCTTGGTTGGTCCATATCTCGGAAACCCTGTCCAGATTCAGACCAGTGAACTGAACCAACGTTTCGACGAACAGCGGTAAGATTAAAACAAACATGAGTATGGTGGCAGGGTTGCATGAATAACCATAACCCAACTTAACGTATTTAAGCTTCACGGATTGCAAGAAATTAGGCAACCTTCTACGGATCTTGATGACTGCGGAGGACGAGTCTCTAAACGCCATTTCCACAGTCAGCCGCTCTTTCTCCATCTCTATGCGATCCCCGTCCATTGTTCTTCTAAGGAATATGGTTTCGTTTGCTTGTTTCTAATCAAAGAAGATGAACTAAAATCACCTATAAAAGGAGAAAAAAATTGGCTTATGAAATCTGAGGCACAGGGAAGCTAGACCAATAGGTATTAAATACAAACAATAACTACAAAGAACAGAAAAGAGGGGGAAGCTGGAAGGAAACAGAGTGTTGAATTAATTGTTGGTAATTCCGAGAAAGGATAGATAGCTCAACCACCGTAAGAACACATGTGGTTCAGTAATAATAAAAGAAAGGGATTCGGAATTTTGAAATCCCATTTTTTTAGTCAAAAAGTTGAAGAAAAAAAACTGGAGAATAGGTGTCCTGGGAGCTGCTGATTGATGACTGTGCCGCCATGTGAGATTGTTTTCAAGAAAGCTGGAAGAGTGCTTTGGTTATTGGCAGGAAATCAAACAAAAAGTGGGTGTTCAAGTGGTGTTTCAAAGCTCAACAATGGATGAAGAAAGCATAGATTAAAAGGTCAAGCGAGAGGGACGTGGAAAGTGAAGGAAGATTGGCCGGTGGAGTTTAGGTGGCAACGAGAGAGAATCCTAATTAGTGGCTCCATTGGTTAAAGAAGGTTACCTCTAACCTTCCACTTTCCAACACTGACACTTTCCCGGCTACTCACCCCATCGATATTCTCAGCATTTACGTGTACAAATCTAATTCATTATTAAACTCTTATTAAGTTAAATTATTAAGAATAGGTACTTTTGAAAAAAATCAATATGGCACTCGTATTAACTTTCTCTCTCAATATGGTCCTCTCTCAGAAAATAAACCATATGCAACCTTTTGACCAATGTTTTTCGTCGTTGGTTGTTACAGTATTGACGTGATAATTCACTATACCGACGTGGCGGTCCACGGTGATAATGTGACAATCCATGGTGGTTGATAATGTGACGGATGATATGATATATGAATTAAATTGGAAACTCAAACATGACTAATGGATTGCCACGTTAGTACCGTGGACCGCCATAAACTATCAAGTCAGTACCATAACGGTTAACGGCAGAAAAACATTAGTCAAAAAACTATATTCAGTTTATTTTATGAGTTGAAGAATCATATTAAAAGAGAAAAAAAAGTACATGAACCTTTGAAGCCTTCTTAATAACAAAATTTTATTTACTTACTATGATGTATCTGGCTTCAATTGAGGATGCTTAACCACAATCGACGCCAACAATGTCTATCTGCTGTTACGCCAACAATGCCATTGCAGCCAGGTCAGGGCTGGGGCGAGGGGGAGTGGCAGTCTAAAATTTTTAAATTTTATAAGTTTGTCATATTCTAAAATTGTACAAGTCCGTTCTCATAACATAAAATCTTGACCCCAGATGACGGTACACATGGAAGATATTTTATGCAACATCCTCGGGCTGCTGCAATGGCACAGCAACCCGGCAGCGTGTACCCTCAAAATCGTGATGGAGTTGAAGTTTAAATCCAAATGTCAAACAACATTATGACTTCATGTAGTTATAGATGCTGTCGTTTTAACAATTTAAGATTAGAACCAAAATTAATAAGAAGAAAACGGTATAACTGAACATTTCTACACATTTTTTCTTTTAGATGCCAGATCTTATTCGTTGAAATGCTACTCCAATTGTTTAGGGTAAATTCTAGAAATCAACATTCAACTTTCTTCTCACTCCTGTTTAGGTCGCTAAGCTTTAATAATTCTAAATTTATAACTTAAATTTTGAATTACTCTTGTTTCGGTCACTCTATCATTAAATCGTTTAGGGAAAATCAAAGTTCATTTTTCTTCCTCTTATTTTCTCTCAGTCTGTCCAAATTCTAGCCACCACTCACTGTGAACGATCACCGCCAACCCTCGTCAACAATTGTCTATGAGTCCCAATTTTTTTGTCAAACTCGTTTCATCTTCCTGAAAGTGTAACGTTGAAGGTTTAGGTTTCTTATTTTCTAGTCTTGATTGTTCGTCGTTAGATGGAACTCGTACAAAGATACGGTGTTTCATGTTCCAAGACTAGCATATATATCATTTGGATCTTCGAATGGAGACCCTAATCATCAGAAGTGCACCAAAATTGAAGGTCAATAAGAAATTTGTTATGATTTCATAGTATTTGAGGCGGTGGGTATAGTTTTTTAGGTTTGAGTTTGATGCCTATGGTGACTAAATTTGAGTATATGGAATGAACTAAGTTAACAAGAGATGGTGGGTGGATGACAGGCGATAGAGAGTCGTCAATGATGAGTCTAACTCGATGAAAAAGCTTAAAATGGGTAATATTTATAAATATTAGCTGTTGCTTAAGTGTAGGGATGACAAATGGACGGAACATGCATGGATATTTATTCCTCTATTTTTATATCTACATAATATTTTTGTGTTCACTATCTATCCATCATTCACAATGAGTATAATTTTTAAATTCATATCCGCCCACATATATACATTCTCAAATTCACCCCACACTCACTATTTAACTGAATACTCACTACTCATCTCGTAACTGAATACTCACTACTCATCTCGTAACCACTTATATCCAATTGTACATTCTAAAAATTGAAAATTTGAGATCGGAGAAATGGCGGACTTCAATTCTAAAAATATTTATACTTTAACATTTGGTTAGATTTCAAGACAGGTCCTCTAAAATCTTACCTAAATTCATAATAATCCAAAATTTATATGGTAGGTAGATAGTGAGTGGGTGGATGCAGGGTGGGTAAGGTATCAAACCCATCACCTATCCACTACCCACGACAAATATGACTTTTTACATTAACACCGTCTACTACCTATTAAATTTATATCCACCCTAGCATCAATTAAAACGGATACAGGGAAAATCCATCAAATTATACTCATTTGCCATCCCTACTTACTGATAATTAAAAAATTGATAAAGAAATTTATTGTCAGCATAATGCTAA